AGGCTGGGGGTCGCTCGGCCTCGGCTGGGGGTCTGGGCAGCTGGCCTCCCGCTCCCGACCGACCTACGCTCTCGCTGGGGCCGCCAAGGCGCAGATTATTTTCTTTCCTAGTGCGTCGCAGCAGCGTTCGGGGGAAGTCCAGGGGCTGGCTGGAAACCAAGTGGGCGGCGGCCCTCGGAGTCTGGGCCAGCTGGGTTCCCACGCTTCCCAGGCGCAGCGACCCCCGGTCCCGCCGAGTAACGCGAGGGGGAGGGGCTGTGTTTATGTCCGCTCCTGGGCGCCCAGCGCCTGGCACACGCCTAGTGCTCAGTAAACGTCCCGTGACTCGCAAAGTTTCCATGGGCTGGAGAGCCCGGCCGGGAAACGAGCATGCTGGGCTGAGGCAGCCGGCTCTGGACGCAGGCCCGGGCCCCAGGGTTGGCTCTCCTGGCGCCCTGGGTGGGGGCCTCGAGTGCTGCGTGGGAGAAGTTTCTCCGCCCCAGGGGTACCTCGGCGCAGGGCTTGCCAACCGCCGCGCCCTTCCCCTGATGGGGTAGAGGACGCTTGCTGGGGCAGAAGCCAGAGCTCTTGAGCATCTGCTGTGTTCCAGGTACAGGCTTCAAGCCCATGTCTTACGGCCCATTAAATCTCTCACAGTAACGAGGTAGAGGTTTATTTATTTTTTCTGTTCTAAAGAGAAATTTAAAGATTTGGGGATGTGTCTGGCCGGTTCTTACTCAAGTTTAAACGTAAGCCAACCCTATCACTCAGCAGTCACTCCTGGGCGTGCATCCACCTAGAAACATACACAGTAGAAAATGTTCATAGCGGTTTTAGCTGCAATAGGCAAACTCTGGAAACAACCCAAAGGTCCATCAGCAGGAGAATGGAGAGACAAACTATGGTGTGCTCGCATCATGGAATAGTGTACAACAGTGAAACAGAACAAACTGTTGATACAGCATGGCTGCATCTCACAGGGTGAACGAGCACCGTGGCTCATCAAGCCAAGCACAGAGAGTATGCTGTGAGTTCCCAGTCACAAGGTAAGGTTCAAAAAACAGGCAAAACTCATCTACATAAATAGAAATCATCCCAGCCCGGGTGGCGGGCGCAGTTGGTGAAGCTGGTCCTATGCACTGTGGTTGGGGGGGTTGCCCTTTCTGTCCCCTGTGGAGGCACATGCGGAGGGTGGCGAATGATGGATGTTTCTAACATCGGTATTTCTTTCTCTCTCCCTTTCTTTCTCTAAGCATGTCCTCAGGTGAGGATTAAAAAAAAGAAAAGAAAAATCAAATCACTAGTTACCTCTAGGGATGCTGAGGGGTGGGGTATAAGGGAGCCTTCTGGGGAGATGGATATATTGTGTGTCTTGATGTGAATGTTGGGTACATGGGCTTGTGCGTATGTAAAAATGTATCAGCTGCACACTTACGATTATTACTTTATACTGCAACTTAAAAAAGACACCTGCCCTGTCAGGTTTGACTCAGAGGTTAGAGAGTCGGCCTGTGGACCAAAGGGTCTCAGGTTCTTTTCCCGGTCAAGGGCATATATCTCTGTTGCAGGTTCAATCCCCCGCCCCGGTGAGACTTGTGCAGGAGGCAACCAATCGATGTGTTTCTCTCCCATCCATGTCTCTCTATCTTTCTCCTTCTCCCTCCCTTCCACTCTCTCTGAAAATCGATGGAAACAATATCCTCCAATGAGGATTAAAAAAAAAAAAGTCAGACACCTACAGGGTTAAAAGGTTTGGCCAAGATCATGTACAAATGCCTCAGTACATACCTGTCTCCAAAGCCAGTGCTCCCAAACTGAACCATAGGAAGATACCTGAACACTTTTCAGATGAGATTTTATTACTTTACTTGGTAACTTTGTGGGTATTTTACAATAGTCAGTATTTACAAAGTGTTTAAATCACACCTAAACTCAACTATAATGGAGCCAGCTCTGCCTTGTTTAGCCAGGACGGGGTGAACATTGATTGGTTCAAAAATGACTCCTGCCTGCTACCCACCCCAAATCCAGTGACTTCGTATCTAAATCTTGCAGGCAGAGTATTGAGAGTGTGATGAACTTACTTTCAAATGCAGTTGTCACTCCTGTATTTGCTGGACTTCACAGGGCATTAAAAAAGAAAGAAAAAAAGAAATAGCTTCCTCAAAAACACTGTGAGATGCTTAGTCCACTTGGGATACTATATCAAAAATACCATAGACTGGGTGGCTTAGACAACAAACACATCAGTTCTGGAGGCTGGGAAGTCCAAGATCAAGGGGCTGGCAGATTCAGTGTCTGTTAAGGGCCGCTTCCTAGTTCACAGATGTAGTCTTCTCGCTATGTCCTCACATGGCAGAAGGAGCAAGGGAGCTCTCTGGGGTCTGCTTTAAAAGAGCACTAACCCCATTTCTGAAGGCTTCACTCTTATGACCTAATCACCTCCCAAAGACCCCACCTCCAAATCTCCAAATACCATCACATTGGGGATTAGGTTTTAATATATGAATGGGGGCAGGAGGGTACATAAACATTTAGTCAATAGCAGATCTCAACCATTAAGATGGCTATTATTAAAACAAACAAACAGAAAATGGCAAGTGTTTGGGTCAAATAAAACTAGCTATATTATCTTTTACTGTTGATTGCATCCCACCCCATTTCATGAGTAGAATTCACTGATTATTATCTATTTATTACTAGAAGGGCAAGTCCAAAGAGTGATCTATATGCCAGGCTGCTTCCCCAGTGAGGGCCTTGGAGCCCTCCTCCCCAGTAAAGCCCATCTCCAGGTAGGTGGCCCATGTCTGCAGGCCAGTGCTCCAAGGAAGGCTGTGGTTCATGTGGTTCACATGTGATGACTCAGCAAGCACCAGCTCATATTTCCTCCAGAGAACAAAGTCAGGCCCAAAGATAGTGCCAGAGGGCCCCAAAAAGGGACATGTTCTCATGTCTGAGTCCCTTCAGGGAACTCTTCAAAACTGAAAAACAAAATATAATCCCTGCCTTTACAATTTCATTTCAAATAAGTTTCTAAACTGCTACTTTTAAACTATTTTATATTTTCATCTGTCAGATTTATTACAAAAAATATATACTCAATAAAGTTGGGGAATTATATATGTCCATACACTTCATTTAAGGGAAAACAGGCATGTTTGATGAAGAAAATCAAAATCTGTACTCATAATGCCACCACCCAGGAGAAACTGCTAGTGATACTCGTGTCTTCTAGTGTTTTCTTTTCCTCTGGCTTCCTGGAGTTCCCCTTGCCTTGACCAGTCATGTGAGATGGTTCAAGTCATGATCTAGAATATAATGGGATCTCTAGTATGAGCTCTTACCTCTCAGGGGTCTCAGGAGGAGGGGGCTTGGACCATGGCCGCTCATGGGTTAGTCCCTGCTGCATCCAACTCCTCCAGAGCTATCCAGCCCCTGTGGTCAGCATGGACCCCTCATCAGCCTCAGGGCAATGTGTTGCTGGTTAACTGCCACTCAGGGCTGCCATCTGCTATTCATTTCTGAGAACCACTGACATAAGTTGCTTGGCAGCAGACATTGATTGATTGATTTTTAATTCTCACCAGAGGACATTTTTTCCATCGCTTTTCAATGGAAGAGAGAGAGGGCAGAAGAGGGAAACATCAATATGAGAGAGACAGCACCACATGGCTCTGTCTCAACATCTGGTTGATACAGGAACAGAGTCTGGCTGCTGAAACTGGCTCTAGATCCTCACGTCTTTGTGTCCTTGCTGTCAGCAGAAGTGGCAGTGGGAAGATGGCCTTTGCCCTCCAAATCTCTGATGGGGCACCTAATTGTCAGACCTTAGTTTATAGTCGTAACTCTAGCTGCAAAGGAGTCTGGGCAATGTAGGTTTTTTCTTTCCAGCCTCTGCAAAATAGAGGAAAGCACCTTGTAGGGAAGTAGAGGGAGCCAGTTGTATCAGTTGGATTTGCAAGTAAGAAAGCTACCCTAAAACATATGAGCAACCATTTATTCAGCTCAGTTCTGAGTTAATTTCAGAGCATGGTAAGTAGGGTTC